ATCTACACAACAAAATCTCCAAAATATAAGCAGGGTCCAAAAGATATAAGGGCTTTTCTGTTTCTATAATCCAGGTGATGATTGAACTTCAGTGTCTGCTGTAATGCAGCAACTGGAAAACCTTCATGGACACAATCAATCTTTGACCTCAAATTAGTTAACCAGGAAACTCCTGTAACTTGAAACAAGGTTCCCATATAATCTTATTGTCATTACTGAATATAAAATGAGGTCAAAGAGATATACATTATCTTAACCATCAGAAACATTGGCTTGAGAGTTCTGATCCCCATACCAGCTGGCCCCCTACTCCCACCCCCGAAAAAAAAGGGCTGGCCGGTGAGCTCAGTTGCTCAGTGTGGTGCTGATAATACCAAGGTCCAGGGTTTGATCCCTGTACTGCCAGCTGCCAAAAGGAAAAGAAACACTGGCTTGCCTAAATTCCCTGTGGCATAGCACACATTGCCCTGAAATATCTGAGAGAAAGCACGGATACAATGAATAACCAATTCAAATCCAAACATTCATATTTTTGATTGTAAGGAAAAGATTTATGGTGTTTCCAAGTTTTTCTACTTGTGGTTACCTCTGTCAGCAATTTCTTTTTGTGATCGTGTGTATATTTAACTTTGATTTTCTTGTGTATCTTCAAGTTGTTTCAAGGCTATATAAACACGATCTTTTCTCACAAATCCTATGTGTTCCACAACTTGCCTTTTTTATCGAGTGATATATCTTACAAGTAACTTAATATCCGTGCATACTGATCTCTCTCATTTTTGGTAAATATTTGCTCTGAACTTCCTTGCCTAAATGAGGTACATAGATAGTGCATTGTTTAAAGACTCAACGTTGTATCTTTTTGTATTCATAGTGTTTCCCAGAGGGTTTTCCCAAAAGCTTTCACAGTAAAATACAATATTGAGGACTTAGACACTTAAAAAATATTTTGAACATATTTTTCTCTACCCCACCCCCATTCCCAGAGGGTTTTCCCAAAAGCTTTCACAGTAAAATACAATATTGAGGACTTAGACACTTCAAAAATATTTTGAACATATTTTTCTCCCCGCACCCCCGTATTTTGAACATTTTTATATAGCATGTGATAGGGTGGTGTTTTGTATGTAGGGATTAGTCAGTTCCGCAGTGATGTGGGGTCGCCCTTAACACACTTTGTACCAAGGCCATGGGGGCTCGGAGGGTTGGAGCTGTGGGAATGGACAAGAGAGAGCGAGTCTGCAGGCGTGCTGGGCTTCATGTGTCCCTGAGCATCTCAACCTTACCCCAAAAATACCTCTGGGGGGACATATGCCGAGTAACAGTCTGTCCAACCAGAGACTGGCGTCAACCTTGTTCTTCATCCTTGTAGCCAAGGATAATTATCCCAAAACAATTATGTAATCCTCTACCATTTTTCCTTCGAAATCCTTTGTTTTTCTTTAGCTCTCTGGATACATACATAATTTACTGTGACCTAATTTACCATGACATTCCCATTGCAATGTTTTATTCCCAATTAAACTCCTTTTTAGAGACTCTCTCTCTGTTATTCAAGCTATTATAAACAACCTCCGAGATGAAATATTGGAAGAAAAAAAGTAGTTGCAGAACATACAGGGTACAATTATTTTTTTAAAATACATGTAGACATCCTCATCCAATATGTGGTCTCATATTCATAGGCTATCTGGGAAGTATGTGCCAGAAGATATTTCATAGAGATTCTAGACTCAAGAGAAGTGACAAGCCCACAGGACCTCTCTGTGGGAGCTTTGTCACATGAGAAGTGTTCCCATCAATTCAGTATATCATTGTCATTTTAAAGAATTTTCACAGCAGATGGTTCTGGAGTGGAGACAGTTGTGTTCCTGATTAAAGGAAAATCCTCCTCTCCCCTGAATGGATCGTCACCCTCACAAAGCAGAGCTCACACCCCTCATTTGTTTGCTCATCCTTCCCCCCTCTGCACTGAGGCTCTCGGATGGAAGGAATGTGCTGCTGTCACCGTATTCCAGGCTGCTCATCAGCATCCACAGAGTGCAAGCACTCAACATGTTTGTTGAATGTATAAAGAAATAAACTTTCAATAAGTGGTAAATCAAGTTAACCTTGTATATATTAACATAAAGATCCCGAGAAAAACCCAGGAGTGGAGGTGTACATTCAGCAGTGCCATCCCGCAGGTAGCAGTGGAAACCACGTGTTAGGATGAGATGACTGAGTCTAGTTAAACACACTGTTTCTCAACACACACAACGCTGCTGACACCAGATGTGAGGTCTCCCCACACCACCAATTCTCTGACGCTAGGTAGGTGTCTTCAATGTGTTAAATAAAATTATCTGAGTCCGTTGTTCTGGACTCAATTTCTGCAGGAGGCCCAGATAGACCAGATGGAACATTGAAATTGAGTCACACATGCTAAGTTCCATGTCACTTAGGTTGTAGTTAGACCTTCCAAGAAGTCAGGACAAAGAGATAACAGCCAGTTTCCCAAACAGGCCAGTTTTAATTTTCAATACGTATGATAATGAAGTTCCCTCTGCTTTAATTCTTGCACAAATCAGATGGCCTGAAGTAGCCTGATATTATCTAGTCAGTTATTTTTCTATTGTCTTCTCTCCACACCTTACAAGGAAAGTAACTTTGAAGTGACCAATCCACGTTTTGTTCTTTGTTTCTGCTTTCTTCAGACTTTTTCCATCTATAAAATCG